CTAGGCCTTTATTCCTTGCATCTATTTTTCAGTTATTATTTTGTTTCTTTTAAAATAAATAAATAAACTGTCCCATCCTTTAAAGCTCATTATACAAGTCAGTTTCCTTTCTATCCTCCCAACAAACACCTAAATTCACAGACCAAAGTCAACAATTCAGTTACCTTCTCTCTCTTCTGGTCTCTGTCCCCCAACATGTCTAAATAATATATGTGACTACTTTGTCTACTTACCGGTTTCAAAGATTAACCAGCTACCCGTAACAGGTGAGGACGTAGCCCCTTGGGGTCTCTTTCATCACTTGGCATCACTGGGCTCCTTTGCATGGCGTCCTCTCCTCTGTCATGCCAGTGTGACCCTTATCCTACCAGTAGTCGTTATTTTCTTCATTACCTATGATTCCTTGCTGGCTAAGTACAACACCTTGTGTGTTGCCTTTTGTAGATAAAATTTTGCTTGCCTAAAAGTTAACAGTGATCTGAGTTTTGTTTCCTTAGGTTTCCTTACATAAGCTCCAAAATATGTATTAAGTTTATTGAGTCGTCCACCAAGTGTGTGCCCCGCAGCGCTGGGCACCTGGGACAGACTGGTGAATAGCAGACTCAGGCCCGGCCCCTGGGATTCCTGACTGAGTTGAGGAGCAGAGTCAACAGCACCGTGCAATGTTGTCAATACATTGTTTACTTAGACCTTACTTTTAACTTATCGTTTATCAATATAAATTTTAAGTGATAACCTGTTTTAGAAATGGTAATTGTCACGGGTGAAAAGAAGAAGAATCAACAGAGCAGGGCGGAGCCCGTGGGAGCAGAGCTGGGAGGGGAGGGGGCAGCCGCAGACTGGCTGCTGAGCACCTGCTGAACAGGGCTGGGAGGGCCTGGGGAGGGCAGGTGCCGGCCACATCCCGCCCACATCCCGCCCACATCCCAAGCACACCAGACTCTCCAGCCTCTCCGGAGCCTCACTGCCCGTGCCACCTACATCCAGTCACAGATGGTGTCTTGGATGCCAGGCCTTGCCTTGTTGGGCACGCCATATCTGGAAACACCTCCCCTCCCTGGATTGGGTTCACTCCGACTTCCCAGCAGCAGTTTGAGAATGCAGTTGTGGGGCAGTCCCCCTCTGGAGTTTCGTGGGCAGGACATTGTGGTGCAGCTTCCCTGCTGCGGCTGCCCAGGAGCTGGCTGTTGTTCTGTTACGAGGCCTTCAGTTACGAGGGTCGGTGCATTTCCCGGCAGTCCTTGTGGAAGCTTAGGGTGGCCTCTTTACCCCCATGTCTCTGATGAGCTTTGATGTGTTTTACATGGCATGGTATTTCCACTCAGTGTGCTGAGTCCACAGTGATACCTTTCAATTTGGAGAAAACATTAATATTCCCTTCATTCTTCATATTCTTTGCCTTCTGAATGCACATATTCAACTAGTATTTTCACTTTCTTATGTTTTCTTTTTATTGAGACAGACTATTCACACATCTGTAGGGTGCCTTGGTAATTTCATAAATGTATATGCGATTATCAAATCAGAGTAACAAGCCCTTCCGTCTCTTCAAGCATTAATCATTTCTCTGAGCTGTAAATTTTGTAGTCCTCTAGTCATTTTGAAATCCATGAGACAGTTTTCACCAACAGTCCCCTACTGTGCCGAAGAGGAATGGCACGTTTCGATGGCTGGAGTGTGGGCTTGCTCAAACCCCAGTGGTCCTCAACCCTGCAGGCAGGCTGGGGCTGAGTCACCAGGACTTGCTGGTCCCACACCCTCCGTGCTGAGTCAGGCTGTCACTGGGGGACCCCAGCCAGCAGGACAGCTGGACAGAAGCTGCTTCTCTTTCTGCTCTGTCACCTCCGACGTCCTTTCTGCAGGGATCACCTGCTTCTCCAGAGAAGGACCCTGTGTCGGAGCCAAGGGTGTTGGAGATCCTGGGTTGGGGCAGCTGGTGCCTGTGCCCAGCATTTGAGGACAGAAGGAATGAAAGGGAAGATGCAGGAAGTCTCAGAGCCACCACCCTGACACCTCTCACTGGAGTCCTCAAGTCAGTCCCTCTAGACACATGTCCCTCCTGGCCCTCATTACCAGTTAGTAAGGCAGCAAAGAGACAAACATGGGTGTTGTTATAGTCAGCTTTTTTGCCACTGTGACTTAAAGACTCAATCAGCACAGTTCTGGAGGAAAAGTTTATTTGAGGCTCACAGTTTCAGAGGTCTCAGTCCATTGACAGCTGGCTCCATCCCTCAGGTCTCCAGGCGAGGCAGAACAACACGGCAGAAGAAGGTGGCAGAGGGAAGCAGCTCACACCATGATCAGGCAGCAGAGAGAGACAGAGATCTCCATTTGATAGATACAAAATATACACCCAAAGCCACGCCCCCAATGCCCACCTCCTCCAGCCACACCCCACGCGCCTCCAGTTACCCTCAGTTAATCCCATCCGGGGATAATGCACTGATGGGGCTCTTACAACTGAATTATTTTCCCCTCTGAACCCTCTCACATTGCCTCGCATGTGAGCTTTTGGAGGACACCTTACACCCAAACCATAGCAGGTGTTAATTCTGCCACATCTGCCACATTTGACTAAAAGACCTGTATCTGTTTTGCTTAGAGCAACAACTAATGGCTCATGACACACTGTAAAAAGGTAGACACTTTTGGAACAGCAATTATGATAATTAGCAGTAATGGATGGATGTGAAAGCATTCGGATTATAGCACAGTTATTGGAAATACATATGATCTAAGACTAAATCTGTTGACAAGAAGAGAAAGTAAATTAACCCTAGGGAGACCCACCTATCCTAGATTGCCTGGAACCTTCCTGGGTTCACAGTTGGAACTCCCGTTCCTGGAGAACCCCTTAGTCCCAGGCAAACCAGGCCAAGAGCTCACTCCCCCAGCACCTGTTGGTCAGGTTCGGTGTTCATCATGTGGAGCCCTCAGCTCCTCCAATTTTAGGTTCTTAATTTTGATGGTCTTGTTCTTAGAGCAGTTGGCCATGAATTTCGTAAGCCCCTGGCCCCACAAAACTAGAATCCATATAAATGATGATCTAATGATAAAATAACAGAACCAGCTTTTACCTAATGCTTGAAAAAATGAAAAGCTAACTCTCAATCCTCGCAGTAACCCACTCAGTAGACACTGCTGTCATCCCCATGGTATAGATTGAGAGACTAAGGCAGATGGGCACCCAAAGGAGTATCGTGAAAAAAAACGTCAGGCCAGGCTTGAAGCACACTCTTGGACAGATGAGCAAGCTTTTAGTGAATTCATGCAAAAGTGAATTTCAAAGCTACTTATCTTCACTTTATTAATTTTTTGCATGTGTATGTATTAGGAAATTGCTTATACAATACATGTGTCTGTTAAAATTGATAATGCATGTTTCTATGTGTATATGCAAGATATGAATACTGGACATTCCTATAGGAAGGATGAACTATGTCCCCCTTTGCCCAGGGAGGATGGAGCTCACGTTTGCCTGTTGTCCTATTATTCAGGAGTGGCTCCCCTCCCACCAAGGTGTCCTGGTTCGGTTGATAAATGATGTGGTCCCTCAGTGCATGGCCCTCTCTGTGTAATCGCTCATGGAAGTTTGCCCAGGCACCTGACAGGCAAACTGTGCTGCTGTAACATAACATTTTTTGTTATGTAACCCCAACCCTAACCCTAACCCTAACCCTGTCCTCCTAGGGAAGGCTCCCAAAGTGAAGAAGAAGTTAGGTTTGGCGCTGTCACGCCAAGGGAGCCCACAAGCTCCTGTCTGTGAGGCTGGTTTTCACCTAAATGGTGTCAGGAGGGTGTTTCCTAGCCAGCTACTAAAATGCCCAAGTGCGGTCATGCTCCAAGGACGTAGTGGGAGATGCCACTTCTCTGGGAATGTTAGTAACACGTTACCCAGAAGCAGCTCAAGAGGCCTGAAGCTCTTCTCATTTCCGGACATGGTGGGCTTCAGCAGGCTCTCCCAGGGGCTGTTTGGCTATTTAATTGTGCATTCTCTTGGAAAGACGGGGTTCACAGAGCTGTCACCAGGCCTATCCTTTCTTCAGACCTGCAGTTTGGGACGCGACTTGCTCTGTCCTTTCCTTGGGTGAGAGGGGTGGCGGTACTATGCAGGTCTTTTGGGCATCTCTAAATGAGCTTCATGCCTGATTCCTGGTCCCCTTTCCCCATGGACGTTGCTTTCCATGTCCTTTCTCACACTCCCCGCCCCCTTCAAGAAACTTGTTCTGAAATCTCTCAGTTGTCCTCTAAGACTGCGTCCTCTAGAAATGCAAGGCTCACCCTCCTGGCCTCTTCATTCCGTTATGAAGACTGAGTCCCACAGCAGAGAATCTCTAGGAGGTAACACAACAAAATTTGTTTATGTCCCTATGAGTTTTTGCTTTTTAAAAATTCATATTTATTAACTGTAACTTCACTGACTTAAAAAAATTCCGTAGAAATCAACTGTGAAAACATGGGTTTCCCTCCCCGTCTTTCAGCTGAGCAGTGAGGTAGAGGGGCTGGATGCACTGGTCGTGTGGTCTCCGTGAATGGCCTCACTTTCCCCAGTGAGGGTTGGTTAGGAGAAGAGGAGGGGGAGTGAGAGATGAGGCACTAGGTGGAGGAGGACCTCAGCTGCCGCTCAGTACCCCACCTTCCCAGCTCTGCCCGGGGCTGCGGTGTGGATGGCCCACTGTGCAGACGATGCAGTGGCCAGGCGTTCTGTGATTCCCCCAAAGATGCCCGGCTGGTGAGGAAGAGCAGGGTCCAACCCAGGCCACCTGGGCAGAGTCACCCCTGAACCCCCACACCCCAGGGCCTCACACTCAAGTCAGACACCAGAAAAGGCAGCCCATGGAAGCCATGCAGCCCATGGGAACCCAGGGCTCAGACTGTCTGCATGGCTCTGAGGGCACAGGGTCAAACTTGCAGATTTCCGAGTCCACAGGCAAAAGCAGATCCTAGGAAGCATAGACTCATCATGGTGAACCCAGAAGGAAGCCACAGGGATGTTATGGTACTTAACAAAGAGCAGAGCTTTATCTTGGGGTTCAGGGTGGTGATGTCCATTGTCAGTTCACAACCAGGCTGAGAATTCTGCAGGTCGTTAGCTGTGGGAGCCTCACAAAGGCACTGAGGAACCCAGGTGCAAGGTGTAGGTTTTGTGTCCGGCATGAGCCCACCTGCCAGCTGGGCCAGCCTGAGCCTCCCACAGTGCCAGGTGGACCTCCCGCGTCTTACCCTCAGTCTCTCTCTCTTGCCCACAAAAACACCTCTCTTGTTCCCTGATGGTGTCAGATCCTGGTCCCCCTTGGCTCCTGCCATCCAGAGCTGTTGTCTCCCCTGGAGGCCTGTCCCAAGGAGCTGAACAGGAGGGGATCCAGGCTGGTGAGGGAGCTGCCATCTGGGCAGGGTCTGTGGCCTTCAGTGGTGGCTTCTCTAGGTCCTCAGAAGACACAGTGTTTCTCATGACATGCTCCTGTGCTCTCAGTAAGCTTCCATTCCTCCCTGTAGGAAATTAAAACTGCCGAGGCAGCTTCCACACAGCGGGCAGCTCGGCAGATGAGGCGGGGCAAAGGCAGAAGCCAGCGTTAGGCTCACTAGGTAACTAGAGAGACAAAATCAGTTCCTAGTGTAGACCCGGTGACACACCTCAGCGCTGAGTCGGGCTCTGTACCGAGCCCAGGAGATTCCCATCGTAAAACACTTTGCCAGAACAACCCTCCTCTGCTCTAGGAGCCAGTGGTCTCTCCCGGGGACCCTGAGCTCCTGCACACCTGACCACCGCCTGCAGCAAGCACTTGGGGAGGCAGGTGTTGCAGGCTCCTGTTGGGGAGCCCATGCCTGGGGAACTGGAGCCAATGAGGGGTCCAAACAGCAATGGAACAAAAGAAATAGTGTTCATATTAGCACTAAAAATACTTCCTACCAACAGATCAGAGACTGGCTTTTCCCGGGAAGACCCAGAGGGAGACATTTACATGAGAAATGACAGGATCTGGCATTAGTTAGGATTCTTCAGAGGAAAGTAACCGATAGGTTGTGTGTTTGTGTGTGAGCATAGAGAGATTGATTTCAAAGTATTGGCTGTCATGATTGTGGGGACTGACAAGTCTGGGATCTACAAGGGGGTCAACAGACCAGAGACCAGGGAGGAGCTGCAGTTCTGCAGATGAGATCCAAAGTCCATCTGCTAGACCTCTCTCCTCCTTGGGTGACTTTGTCCATTTGGTATCTGTGTATCTTTGAATGATTCTTTCCCATAGTCTACTTTTCTGCTCAAAGGGTGGGTAGACTCTTCTTCCATCAGGTGAGGACCCTCAAACCTCCCTGGGGGGTCCCTGCATAAATGACTGCTTCAGGTCATCTTCATCTGATGGCTCCATCCCGGCTCTCCCTGTCTCAACGGATTGCATGAGGCCCCCCACAGTATGAGAAGAAATTGGCTTTACTTCAAATTCGTTGATTTAAATATCAATCTCATCTAAAAGAACTTTCACAGGAACATCTAGAAAAATTATTTCCCAAATATCTGTGTCCCACGGCCAAGTCAAGTTGACAAAACCAACCATCACAGAGCTGGACTCCACCAGCGTGAGCACCCGATGTTTGGGGGTGAGCACTTGGCTGGGGAGTCTGGAAGCAGAATCTGTGATCTTGGGGCTGTGGGGCCTGGAGGCAGGAAGCTGGCGAGGTCCCTCTTCTGGTGCAGGAACCTGCAAGGACAGGGAGAGCCGGGATGGAGCCATCAGATGAAGATGACCTGAAGCAGTCATTTATGCAGGGACCCCCCAGGGAGGTTTGAGGGTCCTCACCTGATGGAAGAAGAGTCTACCCACCCTTTGAGGAGAAAAGCAGACTATGGGAAGGAATCATTTCAAAGATACACAGATACCTTAAATGTGTATTTTCCTTTGAAATAATTAAATGCATCCATTTGCTAATTCTTTTCATTACGGCCCCAAACTTTCATCCCATAAGGGTCTGCCTGTGCGAGGTCCAGGTTAACCATCGGCATTCACATGCTCACTAAGCATGATGTGCAATTCAGGTTTCTTTTACGGAGGGTGAAACACGTCCTGTCTGTCCAGGTGCCAAAGCAGTTTAATTTTCCGTCTTTTTTCCATGTTTTACTTTTGCCTCAGCCACACCTCACTTGACAGCAGTCTCACTTAATGACTGCCTCCAGGGCGTCGTGCCCACCACACAGCTGGGTTTTCTTAGAAACAAGCCACTCTGTTTTCGTGTTTCACGCAGCCGCACCAAATCTAATTATATTACATAACAGTGACGAGTTCCGTCGGCATAAACAGACTCGGAGGCAGACTCAGTGGGCTCTGGGGAGTCTTCCAGTCACCAGTGGCAGCAGAAGGCTGTTGACATCCCTGGGCAAGGCTGGCTCCTCCCAGGGCTCTGCCAGCAGAGGGGAGCGGCGCAGTGAGCCGAGGTGTCCATTCAGAGCACACAGGAGTTTGTCATAGGCTGCAGTGAGACTGCAGGGAGGTGCCCATGCGGAACAGGATGTGTGTCTGGTGTCCAGGGCAGAATGGAATAGGTGTAGGGAGCCACCAAGACAAAGACCAACCTGACAAACATGCCCCTGCTCTAACCTCCTGAGAGGAGAAGACGGAGGAGACTCCTGTGGGAGGCTAGAGGCCCCTGCCCAGTGGCAGCCACTTTGTGCGTAAGAGGAACCCTTATCACCTGGCAGCATCCCCAGTTGTGAATATCCATTATCACCACCCTTCACATCCAAATGCAAGGACAAGGTGAGACACCTTGCATCCCAGAGCCTCCTGGGGCAGGGATGTCTGTGTAGACCTCTAGGGGGGCCTTGGAGGAAGGAAATGCCATGAGAGTTCCTTTTGCTTCCCTGACAGCTGCATTCTTGTGCTGGGAGGGTCCACGTAGGAGGACGTGGTCTCAAAGGACTTGGCTTTCCCCGGCAGTGGCTCTGGATGGTCCTTTGGTTAGGATCTCACACCTACTGGACTCTGCATTCACAGAAGCTCACCTGAGTATGGGCCAGGGCCTCTTGCAGGACTGTCTTTGTGGGGTTGTTTCTGTGTGTTTTGGTTTTTGGGGGGTGGGTACCAGGGATTGAACTCAGGGGCCACATCTCCAGTCCTATTTTATATTTTATTTAGAGACAGAGTCTTACTGAGTTGCTTAGTGCATCACTTTTGCTGAGGCTGCCTTTGAACTTGCAATCCTCCTGCCTTAGCCTCCAGAGCCTCTGGGCTTACAGGCATGCACCAATGCGCCCAGCTGTGGGTTGTTTTTGTTTGTTTTGTTTTCGTGGTGCTGGGGATGGCATGCAGGGCTCTATAACTGAGCTGGAACCCCAGCCCCAGGGCACAATCTTCGAAACCAGGAGGGCTGTACAGGGGCAGGGAGGTGGCCCAGGGAGGAGCTGAGGTGGGTTTCTCTGAGATGTTAGTGACCGGGAATGAAGGCACCCATCATTCACAGAAGAACCTGTCTATCAGACTTTACCCTTCAGATTTTCTATTAGCATACACTATTTCCATTATGGTTTAAAAACAAAATCAGTACAACCTTAATACAAGGAATTGAAGTACAAAATGGGTGAAAGTGATTCAGAACTTCAGGGCCAACCCCATCCCTGGACTGTTCTAACAGGTCTGTGGGTCTCTAGTGACGGGGTACATCTTGTGGTGATGTCGGTGATCTGGTGTATTCAGGAAGCTCATGGGCCTGGTTATTCTGATATGAGTTTGATATGCCCCTGCATCCATGTGCTTCTGATTGATTTGATAAGTCACAGTGGTCATTCTTATTAAGCACACTTAATTTATTTATCAGTTTGTTTTGTTATAGTTAAAGCTTTGTCCCAGGGTTTCATAAACTGACTTCCAAACCACTCACGTATAATCGAATCAAGCCTTTATCGAAGCACACCGGTGGTGGCTGACCAGAACATAAAGCTGTTCCCCTGATCAGCCCCGAACAATTGCAAGGGCAACTCCTTATAAGCCTGAAAACTGCAAAAGGGATGTTTGGGGGTCTAGCCAATGCAAGCAAGCCAGGTTACAGAAGCAGGACAGTACAGTCAAGCGGAGGGAAGCCTAACCAATCACAGTTAGCCCAGTCACCCCAGTTACAGAAACAGAGCCCCGTTACCCTAGTTACAGAAACAATACCCATTAGGTAGTTCCGTGTTCTTAAAGGTTTCTATAGCAAAAGGAAAAGAACATCTTGCTCCAGTCATGACTCTTCTACTTGGCATGGTTGTTTTACAGGATGAAGTCATAAAACAAAATGGAGTCACATTTGCTCCTACTATCACAGTTTTATGCTGGTTATTTACTTGAACAAACAAGGTATAGACTCATCCAACCTTAGCTATTAAACTGAAACTGGATCAAATTATGGCAAACTACTGCTTTGCAAAATGGAGTCACTCAGGACAGGCACAGCCTGAGGACTGCTGTCCTACACACCATGGAGTCACCAGGGCAGGCACAGCCTTAGAGAAGCTGTTATACACACCATGGAGTCACTAGGGCAGGCACAGCCTGAGGACTGCTGTTCTACACACCATGGAGTCACTCAGGGCAGGCACAGCCTGAGGACTGTTGTTCTACACACCATGGAGTCACTCAGGACAGGCACAGCCTGAGGAGCACACCATGGAGTCACTCAGGGCAGGCACAGCCTGAGGAGCACACCATGGAGTCACTCAGGGCAGGCACAGCCTGAGGACTGCTGTTCTACACACCATGGAGTCACTCAGGGCAGGTGCAGCCTGAGGATTCCCATCCCTCCTGTTTGTGTTTCCACTAACACATTGGAAACATAATTTGGCTTCTCCACCTCAGTGTCCCCATACAGACGACAAGTCTGGGAACCTTGGTCACTTCTGATGTCCCTTCCAGCCCCATCACTCGCCTTCTCTTGGCAAATCTTCCATGGACACTGGAGGAAGGAGCAGTCTCCTGAGGAGGCAGAGCTTCAGGGAGCAGGGAGTTTAGGAGGCCAAGTAGGAACGGAGCACGACACCCCAGTGTTGTGCAGAGAGAAACCCCACATGAGGGATTTTTTTTTTGAAACAGGTAATTCTTAAGGCCCTTTTGAACACCGAGGTCAGACTTTCCTGTCTGCATGTCTCATCCCATTTCCCTGTCTCCCCGCTGCCCGCGTAAGTGAAGCTCTGTCTGTCCCATGGAGTCTTTTTAAGATAAGATCTGATGACAGGACAGCAAGACAGGGGAGCCTGGTAAAAATAGCACGCTGCCCACTTTACATACCTTTGGCTTCTCACAGTTCATAAAATCAACGCCCACAGTGTCTCCTCTGCGGGGAGCGTCTTGCGTCCCCCAGTTGGGCTTTGCATGTTCCAGGGAGCATGAAAACAATCCTGCATGAGTGTCTGGCTCATTATAAATCTCTCCCGAGTCTCACAAGGCAAAGGAAGTGCTTTGACTTTCTGAGGCTGAAGAAAAAAGCAGATCTCTCAAGCCGCGAGTCCTGCCGTGCCCAGAAGGCCTGGTTTCTGGGCCCCGTTCCCTGGCAACCGTTGCCAGTAGTGGGCTTTCTGTTCTGATGGGAAGAGCAGGCTGGACCCACATTCGCTGCGAGAAGAACCATCAAAGAGACAGAGTTGGAAGGTCCTGGTCCCAGCTCATCTGCACCAGCCGACTGAGTGAGGAGGGACGGCGTGCTCACCACCTGGCCTCTTTCCTGTGGCCCTTACTCTCTGCGTTAGAAGGATTGGAGGACTCTGAGTCGCCCAGACATCAGCACACGCAAGCCCAGCTCAGTCCAGCGACTGGATGCTCATGACTCTGACGTGTACCCTCGCCTACCAAGACCATGGGCTCTTTCTGAGCTGGACTTCTACCTGAGCTTGCTAGGAGTGTACCTGGCACCACGAGATTCTGACAAAATGCCCTATGACCTAGACAGTAATAAACCCAAGTCAGGGAGGAGGAAGAGGTGACCTGCCGGGCTACCTGCCAGCTGGAAAGCCCGATCCTCTCCTCCTGTCCCCCAAGGCTGCGATCTTGGGCGGCACCACCAGGCTGCAGCTTGCCGGCAGGCTTTAAATTAACTCGTTAAGTGATTTTTTTTCCCTAAGGAAAGGCAGATTTTTCAAAGCGGCATATGTTTATTTTTGAGTGGGGATTGTTATGTTTAAAACATTTCATTTAGAACCGTGGTAGATCTCCAGTCACTTACACATGTGAAAATGCTGTCATTGCTCAGAGGAGGACGGGGTCCTTGTGTCCTCGAGGCTCAGCTAATGCCTGTCCCATCCGGCCACACCACGGCTGCCTCGGCCTCTCGCTGCTGGGGCTGACTGTGCGCATGTCCGCGTGTAGAATCCATCGGAGCTCATGTCAGGAAGTCAGAGGGGTGACTTACTCCGTGAAGAATAGCCCACCTGAAGTGGCAGGAGTGCCAATGTATGAAAGCCACCTGTGCCCTGGTCGGACTGGGAAGCTGAAGAAGCACGCGGCAGTAAGTGCTAAGGCTACACCTCCATGTCCTCCTCTGCACCCTGCTGCAAGTGCCTAAAGCGCATGGTGGCTTCTCACGGAGTGTGACAGCTTCTGTGCTCTCACTGTGCCCCCATGTTTACCGAGCAGCCAGAGTTGTGCACGGAGCCAAGAGTTAGTACTGAAAATGCAGCAGAGTGCTTCACCTAAAAACCCAACAAGAGCCAGAGAGAAAGGACCTGGGACCAAGTTCTGGAGGAAGGTGGCGTCCCCTTGTCCTCTGGAAACTCAGGCTGCCAAGCCCAGAGCAGCTGTGCCTGGCTCTGGGGCTCAGCCACGGGCAGCAGAGGTCAGGGCGGGGCTCTGGGTCTGGACTGTTGTCCCGGCACACCGAGCGCTCCGTGGTGCTCCCTGACCAGGGGTTTCCTCAGCCCCTGTCAAAACCTGCACTGTCGAGGACACACTCCATGACCAAAGCCCAAGGGTTGCTTTTATTCTGAAAGACGGGGGTGTGGTCATTTTATTGAGAAATGTCTAGTGACTGTTGTACAAGTCGCTTCACTTCGCAAATACAAATACAAATACAATACAAAAACAAATACTTGAAATAAATCAACTTAGAGTGGAAGTTTATTAACTTAGTTTGGCTCACAGCTTTGGAGGTATCAGCCCAAGACCCAGCAGCTCTCTTGCTTTGGGCCTGTGGGGAGGCAGGCACCATGGCAGGAGCATGTGGGGCAGGAAGCCCCTTTTCCTCTGGGAAACGGGTGTCAAGGAGGCCTGGGTCCCATGACCCCCTTCGAGGGCACACCCTTGTCACCTGAGACTTCCCAGGAGGCTCCCTGCTTAAGGGCTGTCACCAGGGAACCAGGATTTTGACACGTGGGCCTTTGGTGGACATCCCCGTCCCCAGTGCTAGCAACGACCTGGAGCACGTGGTTCCAGGAATCCCACCTGAGCTCAGCAGTGATGGCAGCCACTCCTGCCTCTTGTCCTGGAGCACTGAGAGCCCTGCCAGTGGACCCCTCAGTAGTGGCAGGCTCCCATGGTGGACGGGTGACCAAGTCCTCCCGTGTCCTGTCTAGTACTCTCAACTGGTTTGAGGAATCCCAGCCTCTGACTTCCTTCCAGTTGGTGGACTTAGGAAAACTGAGATAAAGCAGCTGTGGCCCCTGGTGAGCTACAGAACAGCCCACCCAGCTGCGAGACCCTCGGGTGCCAGCACAGAAGCTGGTGGGATTCCGACCTTTTCATGAGCTCAAACAAAGACATTTCCCCAGAGTCCTGTTTGTGAAGCAAAGCAGACCTTGGCACTTCAGATGCAGTCAGAACGATCTTTGTTCGGGAGGATTTCTTAATGACCTAGGGGAGAAGGGCAAGGCTGGATGAACCCAGTGAGAACGTCTTCAGACGAGGGGACAGCAGACGGTGGGGTGGTTGGAAAGTCCAGGAGCAGCCAGGACGTCCTTCACAGCCCCAGTGTGGACACCAAGTATAATTTATAAGGCTGCAGAACTGAGAGAAAATGTGAGAAGGAACAAGAGAGCACACAGACGTGGCTTTAAAATCACCTGGGTAACGGCCTCCGTGTGAACTTGAGGAAAGGCCCTGGCCAGTTTGCTCAGAAGTCCTGACGATTTCTCCTGAAGCTCGAGAGCGGTCCTTTGCCGTTAGGTCCTCATGTCCTTGGGTTCGAGCTTGGTCCATGTTTTGAAGTATTAGCGACACTGGAGATATATTTACAAAGGCTTTGCTGTGTGGGAAAGTGGTTGATTTAAGTATTGAAATTTTAAAATGCTGAATAAAAAGTTGCATATACTATCTGCCTCAGCCACATTGAAGATGCATTTACACACATACACACCAAAAGCACAAGAAGCCAGGGTGCGGGGACAGCGGCAGTCTGCCAGGAGGTGTGAGGGCAGGCTCATCTTCTCCCTCCTCACTCTCTGAATCACGCAGGTTCCAGGCTCCAGCTGGTGGCGCATCTCACGTGGTTGCTGCAGGTGTGTCTGGTGCCTTGTGTGCTCCTCACCAGGCTCACTGGTGCTGCTTTGGCTCCTCAGCCCAGTGGCCATGTTTGACCTTCATTCAGGCCATGTTTGACCTCCTGACCTCCCCTCCTCTGCATGGCCCCCTCCCGTGTGCACACAAAGCCTTGCTGCAGGTGGGCTTGTGCAAAGCCAGCGAAGTCTGTGGACATGCTCAGACTGACCGAGACCCAATGTGGGCACCACTGGACTGACACAGACCCACCTCCCATCACCTGTCTACACAGCTGTCTGTGAGGAATACTTTTATAACCAGAGAAGAAAAATAATATTGTGACTTTGAGGGGAAAAAACACATTATATAGCGTCAACATTAAAAGAAAATGATCAGACATTCTGAACCTGCTGTTGGAAAAGTACATTCGCCCTTGTGAAACAGTCATGTGAAATCAAGTTGGACCTGAATTAATCAAAGCCTCTAGATCCAACCACGGACAGGAAGGGTAGAGGACTGGGGGACACAGAGACATAACTCACAACATCCCTCATCAGCAGAACAGCAGAGGGAGAATCAGTAAGGCAGGCAACCCAGCTCTGTCACAGATAAATCAAAGACAAAAGTAAACAAGATTAAGGAAGAACCTAGAGACAGAAGACAAGAAAGACACACAAATCAATTGCAAAGTACAGGCTTTATTTGGATTTTGCTTTAATAAGCAGAAAGTTTATAACACTATTGGGAATTCAGATGCTGAATATTTAGTAATGTTAAAAAAAAGTATACTTGATGTTTTAGGAGTCATCATGATATTGTGATTATGTTAAACAACAAAGAACTTTTATCTTTCAGAGACACTGAAATATTTCCATCTGTAATTTGCTTTAAGTTGCCTCATGCATAAGGACATACACTGACACTTGTTGGAGTTGAGTGGAGGGAATGTGAAGGTTCTTTATTTTGAATATGTTTGGAGCTTTCTGTTTAATAAAAGAGAACAGACACACCGCTCTAAGCTGGGTTATTTCCAAGTCCAGGAAGCCCAAAAGCCAGGGAAGGGGAGAGAATGGCAGATCCCTCAGTAAGATGGGAGGAACAAGTGGGATCAGGACAGATTTGGGGGCAGAAATGGTTCCTCTGTGGAAACTGTAGTTGAAAAGCATACACAGGTGCAGACCGCACCTCGGAAGCCGTGCGAGCCACACTGTGCCATTAGAGACCCGACCTCCACTCCTGGGGCCAGGACACATCTGTGCCCTCACTGTGGTTCTCTCTGCCAACCCCCCAGCTGGTCCGTGGGGAACTGGAGCACCTGCAGCCGGACGTGTGGCGGGGGCACTCAGAGCCGACCTGTGCGGTGCACACAGCGGGCGAACTACAAGACGGAGACTGTCCCGGCCAGCCTGTGTCCACAGCCTGTGCCCTCCAGCCGGCAGGCCTGCAACTCTCAGAGCTGCCCACCTGCATGGAGCGCCGGGCCCTGGGCAGAGGTAACTGGGTGGGGTAGCCAGGGGGCAGTGGATGGCCCTCCCCATGGAACGCAGGGCCTGCAGCCTGGGGTCCCGGCACTGTCTGTTTCCTTTGCCTCCTTTGCCGGGGGCTGACCGTCGGCTCTTGTGCGCAGTGCTCCCAAACCTGCGGAAAGGGGTGGAGGAAGAGGGCCGTGGCCTGCAAGAGCACCAACCCCTCAGCCAGAGCACAGCTGCTGCCCGACGCCACCTGCACCGCGGAGCCCAAGCCCAGGACTCACGAGCCCTGCCTGCTGAAGCGCTGCCACAAGCACAAGAAGCTGCAGTGGCTGGTGTCCGCCTGGTCCAAGGTAGGCCTCCCAGTCCTCAGGAACAGCCTCGCCAGTCACCTCCTGGGCCGCCCTCCTCTCCTGCTTCCCTGCTTCCTGCTCCCCTTCCTTCACCTGGCTTCTTGCACTGCCCAAGTCCCGAATCTCCCAGCCCCTCTTCAAGGCCCTCCCTGGGCTCAGGTCTACTCCTTAAGTCATGTCCTTGAGCATCACCCCCAGGAACGTCCATGCTGCCCCACTCGGTCAGCATCCAGCACAGGAGTGTGAGAACAGGGCACGAGCGTGAGTACAGGGGACCCTCCTCGTGGTGATAGGGGGTCCCAGAGCATCCCCTAACTCCAGAACAGTTGCAACCATTTCTAGGAGATGCTCCCCCAGGGCAGAGCAGTAAGAAGCTGGATCACTTAGGATAAAGAAGTCTCATTTCCTGATATGTAAGCGGCCTGTATATTCCCAGGGGACGTCTCTGTGTTGAGCGCCCTGGAATTCCCATCCTGTGCTGCCCCCTTCAGGGGCCACCCTAGAGACCATCACAATGGGACCACAGCGAAAGCATGGCTTTGGAGTGTGGAAGCCTTCTTGACTTGCTTTGGCGAAGTGAGGCTAAAGGACCTCAAATACCTTACAACCCACAGAATGGCAGCAGCAGCCCACCAAATGAGCACCCATCCGCATGAGTGTCGAGGGGTCTCCATCTCCCGGGCTGCAGCTCTGCACGTCCATACAGGCAGGCAACAAGCTCCTAGCCGTCCCGGTTCCACACTCCTCAGGGTCGGACACGGGTCCCTCTAGGTGTCTCATTTCCCCATGCTAGTTCAGAAATGCCTTGTTCAGAATGGAAAGCGCCGAGCAGGGTCTTTAATCCTGCTGTTTGCCACTAGAAACTAGAAAGGTCATGCTCGCTCACCGGAGCAAGCTGGTCATTTCTAATGAGAAGCTCCTGGCTCTCTTTCACCCAGGCACAGGAGCAAGTGTCTCCAGACAGAATCCTACGTCATGAGAAAAGATACGTCAGCTGTGCATGCCCTTGGAGCTTAATGGTGGAGCGAGCAGCTTGGGCTGTGCAGGCTGTGGGCTGTGTCTAGGCAGAAAACCCTTGGCCAGAAATGGAATATGTGCCTGCACACACACATACACACACTCACACACTCACACACACACCCCAGAGCTTCTCTCTGAGGCATGGTCCACTAAACAACCCAGATGATGATTTCAGGGCAATCTCTGTTGTGACATCGGAACACACAGAAGACACACCTGCGAGGTGAAGGTTGGGGATGTGAGGTCAGAGCTGGGCAGGTGTTGCCACCTGGTCCCCTCTGCTTAGGCCACCTGATGGCAGTTCAGCCTGGCAGTCCTTGGGCTTCTCAGCTTCACCCACTGTCCCCCAGCCCAAGTCACCAACACTGGGGACCAGGCTTCCTCTTAGAGCCCCTGGGCCTGGCTGAGGGAAAGCAGCATGCCTTGTTCTTGCCTGACGGGCAGCTGCAGACTTCTGCCCAATGTGCTGTTTGCCCAGGGTCTCTCTGCGCCCTCAGGCTGCTGGTGGCAGGGACAGCCCAGGCTTAGTGAATACCTTGGAGGGAGCAGAGATGTGCTTGCTCTCTCAATTCATGCGGCAGTCTTCACGGGCAGCACCCCGTTTTCTGGGGAAGATCTGTGAGCCTTTGGCTGCTTCTACCTGTCTCTGCTTTAGGGACCCACAACATGCCTGAAGTTGGGTGGCTGAATCAATCTGTGGGTCTGTGTCGTCTATCTCATGTTCTTTGTGTATAAAATCTCTCTAGTTCTTAATCAGTGAGAGCCCAATATTCTAACCTTTCAGTGAAACAGTAGCTTCAGAATTATTCCTATAGCAGTTCTTGACTGTCCTGCCCCTGCTTATGATCAGATACCACTGTGACCTCAAGATCCTCCTTGTGAAGGTGATGGATCCATCATGCCTTTCAGAATGCCAAGGCCCAATAACTGCCACTAAATGTCTATATTCATATAAATTTTCAAGCTAATATCATGAGAAGACATTACAACCGCTGATTGTGAAAAGAGGAAAAAAAAAAACAGCCGTCTTTTGCCTCCTCTTTCAGTGCTCTGCGACGTGTGACAGGGGGACCCAGAAACGATTCCTAAAATGTGCTGAGAAGTACGTCTCGGGGAAGTACCGGGAGCTGGCCTCCAGGAAGTGCTTGCACGTGCCAAAGCCCGACCTGGAGCTGGCACGTCCCTGTGCGCTGTTCCCGTGCCCTGCGCACCCCCTACAGGCTGCCGCAGGGCCCCCACGGGGCGGCTGGGTTGCCTCTCCCTGGTCCCAGGTAAGAGGCTCTGAGCATCCTGTTGGGGGAGTGGCACAGCTCCCGGCCCCAGGGTCTGGTGGCCTGTGGGAGGTGTGGGGGGCTCTCTGCAGAGGTGTGTTGCCCGAGCCCACCTGGCCACCCCATGACCTTTCTCTCCAGCATGTGCAGGTGGCCCCTTTCCTGGGCGTTTCGTTCTGAGGATGGACTCCAAATGTCACTCAGCCCTACAGGCCCTGTGTGTATTGTTCTGAGTTTCTGTCCCATTAAGTGTAAAGAAATATAATGGTTTTGGTCATAGCTGGGCAGGATTTCTCAGAGAGGGGTGTGAATGAGAAGAAATGTGAGATCTGGAGTAAGTCATCAGCTGTCAGTTTGTAGTTTAACCATGAGGCTGTGAAAAGTAGAGAGGCCATTGACACCCTGGGAATGCAGTGGCCTGCCTGGGCGCTGGGAGCTGGCTGGCCTCTGCTGAGTGCCCACTGTTTTCCCTCGGGGTTTCTCTCATGCCATGCTCCTCCTCTTCCCACACGTCCTCCACTCTAAGGAAGAACTCAGCCGAGACTGTGTCCTACCCCATCCCTCATCCTGTTTCCTGCTTGGGTTCCCAGCAGCCTCGGCTCTCTCTGGGTCTGGGGTCCTGCTTCCCAGGCCCTTAGTTTCTGGATTCCCTCTGGTCTGGAACCACGCTTAGCTCCTCTCCCACCTGCTGGGATTCCTGCCACAGGCCAGGAGGACGCAGACCATGGGTGCCGGGGTCCTGCATGCAACCCCGGCTCCACCGGCCAGCAGTCTAGCCTCGCATCTGTCCAGCTCAGGGACATTTTCCTTTTGTGACTATCTGGTCGGCTGGCAGCAGAGTGAGCCATGGGCTCCTGTCATACAGAAACACCTCCGTCCCTGGCCAGTGTCCCAAAGCTTGTCAGGTACATTGCTCCAACATACCCGAGGTAAAGTCCCAAGTTTATCAGATGCACAGGGGCATCAGGCCGCCCCACCCAGGGCTTTCCTGCAGCCCCAGCTGGTGCCCTTGTGGATTCCAGCACCCAATCCCAGGGAACACGGGCTGGTGTCTGTGCCACGTCACTTTCAGAAGCACCTTCCAGGGTTCAGGTCTCTCTCCAAGACATTTCCCAAATGGTCTTTCCAGTGCCTGGTGCCAGAGAATGGTCTTCCCCTGGTCTAACTCCTGCCACTGCCCACAAAGGGGACCTGCTGGGACAGTCCACTCACTCTCCTTGTGCCAGCCTGTCCCAGGAGCCTGCATCACAGCGAGTGTTACTCTGGGCTCCCAGCGTCAGTAAGGGAGGGCACCCAGGGAGGGTGCGGCCCCCTTGAGGAAGCGTGCACACACCCCCAGCCCCCCAGGCCTGATAAAGGAAGTGTGGACACAGTACAGACTGCTGTCTGGAGCATCCCAGGTACCCGCCCCTCCCACCTGGAGCCTCGTGCAGCGGCCGCAGGCCCAGACAGGGGAGATCCCTGCAGATCACCATGGGGATGATGTTTAGCCACAGGTCACAGGTGGAAGCATCTGCTAGGTGTTTTACACACATGTTCTATGTACTGCACTTGCACACGTATGAACACCACATGCGCACATATCCACGTATGTACATGCTGTGCACGTGCTGTATTGTGCTTAGCACTGCACCCAGCCCACGCTCAGGGAATGCTTGATGAGTGGGTGGATTTGCAGGGAAACGAGTCCAATGAGCGCACTGGGGCAGCTGCTTCAGGCCTTGTTGGAGAGCCCACTCCTCGCAGGGGAGGGGGTGCCCTTGTCTTGAGGTTCATTTTCATTGTCTGCCAGCGTGGCAGGCTCTGCCAAGGGACCCACTCGTAGCTCATCATCCCTGATAGCCAAAGACAATGCCAGCTTGCCTGCCGGTGTGTCCCCCCAGATTCCCAGGATTGAGCTGGAGAGCAGGCTGCTGGGGTCGGGAGGTCCACGCTGTCCCTGCACATGTGCATGTCAGGTGCGTGAGGGGAGCTCCTGGAGAAAGCAAACCGAGTGCAGCCAGTGACTCATCAACAGTTGCCCACAGTTCACATCCCGCCAGGCGCCATGTCGCCAGGCCCATAGACTCCAGTGACCAATTTGATCTGAGTATGTTTGAAGGATTGAAGAATTGTGATGGGACCCACTGGGCAAGGCCACTGGAGCCCACTCCACAGGCCAGGTGGTACTTGCCTACACAACCCGTCCTGGGAAGGAAATATGTGTCCATGGAGTCAGGGGCTCACTGAGCAGGTGGCCAGGGGTGAGGTCCAAGAATGGACAGAGCCTGGAGCTGAGGAACCCACTGTGTCTCACATGCTTAGCCAGCCTAGGGTCTGGTTCCCTGGCAGTGACCAGCTCTCCCCAACCTGGTTCTCTCCTTAGGTCGACTTTATCCTAACCATGGTGTGTTCAAGGCCAACCTCAGCAATTTAGTGAGACCCTGTCTCTAAAATATAAAAAGGGCTGGGGTGTGACTGTAGTTAAAAGCCCTTGACTTCAATCCCCAGTACCTAAAACAAAAACCACACACACACACACACACACACACACATACACACACACACACCCCTTTGTTTTTATTTTACTGAAGCCCAAAGAAAACAGACATCTTAACAGAACCAACTAAGTCCATCATGGAATGATTTTCAGAATTAGATAAAAGCTCATTAGAATAATAGCAGTTTAAAATCCCCCCACACGATGCCATACTTCACCCCACTGATGCTGTGGGTATGCAGGTATGACGAGCCCAGGTCTGGTCCTCACCAGAGAAGGACACTGAGGATCCTAAGGTGAGTCCCGCCCCCAACCCCAGCTGTTAACCCCGACTGCTCAGCACGGAGCCGGCCAGCACATTTAGAAAGAGTAAAACAAGGTTTACTAATATTTAACTCAAACCCAAACCTAAAACCAAAAGGACATCTTCAATCGTTTTTGCAAGTCTGAAGAATCCCATCTGGTCGTCTAATATATGATTTTTTTTACCACCAGCAGACTAAAGTCTCCATCCACTGTGACTCATCCACTGTTAGGAGACTGCAGCTGTTTTGGGAAAGGTGATAACTCAAGGGGCTACGCTTGCCATGAGCACTTGTACCCATGGCTGTGCCCTCAAACTGGGACGTTGCCAGTGTAGTGAATGGCCGGTGACCACTGAGCTCTGCCACCAGACAGGCTTATTCTTGTAGCAATTGAAAGTCCTTGTTCCTGGTTTGCTCGGTGGGGCTTCTGCAGATCTAATGGCATTGCTTATCCCCACATTTTACGGTGGGCGTGGTGAAGCACTGGCCAGATCATTTTAGTCATGTGGGCTTAGTCAGGTGGTTCCCATACTGTTTGGTCTGGGAACGGCTTAAGCGGGATCACCTGTTGGACTGTGTCTCGCTCCACATGACAGAGATGAATGTGGCCCTGCTGAGTGTGTGGGGGCCCCAGCTCTCTCTCTGGGAGCCCTTTACCAGGACTGTGCACAGACTGACGGAGGAGCACGCTGCACTGTGAGGAGTCAGCAGCCATGTCACAGACGGAGCGCTGGGTTTTCACCCTGGTAACTGTGGCTCTGATGCAGTGCCAAATGCCGACCTCTAACAAGGGCACCCGCACCTCGTCCTCACAGCTGCCATGTGGCCAGGACCGGGCGAGGACAGCTCACTACCACTGACCGGCCGTGGTACACCTCCCGAGTTCAAGGGAGCTGGGCTTGTGACGGACTGAATTGGCACCACAGCTACAGCCCAAAGCTCCTCAACTCAGGTTTGCAGCATAAGCCACCAGAAGCTGCCCTGGGTCAGGCCACTGAGACCTGCGTGGTTCCATTCTCAGTCGAGTTGGCATTTTGGCTCTGGAACAGAGGGACAAGTCACAGTGCAAAGAAGCTCTAGAGTTGAAGGCAGAGAATGCATGGAGGCCCAGCAGAAAACGGCACATCAAAGGAGAACTTAATGGGGACCTCTCAGTGGGGACACGACAGGCGGGAGATGAAAGCCAGAAACCTGTGGCCCTCGGAAGTGGGCAAGTACTTAGGTATTCACTGTCCCCTGTGCTTGGGGGACAACTATCCCATGCGAGAAGCCCCATGATCTCAATGTGTCCAATGAGTGACAAGGTAGGGCAGTCAGAACATCAGGCGCCACTTGGAGACTGGCAGTCACCATGTTCCACTGGCATTTTTCCACAAAGCTCAATGGCCTAGAAAAGAAGTACTTCTCTCATTTAAAAACAACAAAAGTGCTAGAAGCAAACATTATTATTTGCTTTTCTTTGATTTATTTTACTAATGACTGAGAGTAACCATCTTTCCCATTCACCTCATTGTGTTGTTTCCTAAAGTGAGCCGCTGGTCTCTCTAAAATCAGACATCAGATCACTAGTGACACGGGAGACTCCGGGGTCTTAGACTCTCAGAAAGAAGAGAATCGGGCTCTTCACCATTTTGAATAATGTGTTCTCAGGACCTGTCTTATGTTAGACCCACTGGAGTGGGTGGGGACATGAGACCCAATCTGGATCTGCAGCATTTTTCTGATAACAGCAAGGTGGTCTTTCTGATAACCAGCAAGGTGGTCTCCCAGCCGAGGAATAAATGTCATCCCAAGGCAGCTGACTCCATACTGGAACTGCCAGAAGACGCTCACTGCTGGTGCCTGGGAAGGACTGTCCCCCTGGATACTGCAGTGACTCTTCCACATCTCTGTCCATCTTCCCAGCTGGACAGAGTCTTGGCAATTGGGAGTCTTGGGCTCACTGCAATGGCTTCAGGCTGGGCAGGGTTGAGAACAACAGGAAGGGAGGCAAGGAGAGGTTCTCTGGGTACAGGAAGGTGCCAGCACTGTGAGATGCTGCCCATCCCTGGCAGAACCCACTGGAGTGCAGGGTGGTCCTGCTCTGTATCCTCACCCCACCACCACATCTCACAACCAGGCCAGGGTGCGCTCACCCATCAACAGCCCAGTCCTGTTGGGGAGCCTCCATACCAGTAGGAGAAGTGGACCTTAAAGAATGTCCACACTGATCCTGCAGAGCTGCTGGGACTTGGGGCTGTACTGTGTTGGGGGGGGAGTTTTATGAATAGAAGGATTCATTTAGAATAAGGGGCCAAGGGTCTTCTCCAAGGCTGCAACTGGACGGAGTGAGAAGCAGCCCATTGAGAATAAGGGATGATGGCATTTGCAAAGGCCACACTTTGGAAAAAGCCTCGATCTTTTTATTTATTTATTTATTTATTTACTTATTTATTTATTTATTCATTCTGTCTTCTACTATTTTTTTTAATTAGTTGCTCAAGACAATACAATGATCTTGAGCCTCGATCTTTTTAAAGGGTGATCTGGTTCAGCATTCACAGTCAGAACACTTTGACTCCGTGGACCCTTTCTGTTAGAGGTAGAGGTAGCTGAGGTCATTTCTGAAAAGTATAAAAGGGAACAGCACAGCAATGGAACTGAAAACCTGGGCAGCAGCTCCCCCAGCGTGTCCCCACTTGTAGCCACAGTGACATTGTTAGAATACAGGCTCCCTGAAGCCTCCCACACCAGCCCAAGCTCAGGTTTTTGTTGGGGACCCGGCAGTCTATTTATCAGGTCCTCCAGGTGATTCCATGCACATTCAAAAGTGAGAACTGTGGTCTGGGGAAGGAGCCAACAATTGGCCCTGGGTGGGGGTTGGATGAGCAGGTCACTGTGACTGAGCAGCATGGAGGCCTATCTGGGCCATCAGCAAGAGGCTCAGTTGAGTCTCATGAAGCTGGGGGAGGAAGCCAAAGCTTTAGCCTCCAGGTCCAGGGTCCAGACTGTCTTTTCACTGAGCATTATTTTCCCCAGTGGTGCTGTTTCAGTGACTTGCCCACCGTCTTGTCTAACCGTGGCCTCCTGGTCTCTTCCTGTCCCTGCCTGGCCCACAGGTCTCCACCCCTGGAGTTCACTTGGTGGTCAAGGGGTCCAGGTGCTTCTTAGCTGAGTTTGCCTGGGAACCAGAGGCTGCCCAACTCAGCGGACAGTCTGGAATGGGAGTTCTAAACACCCTGCTGAGGTCTGAGCCACCATGTTAGTGCCGTTGACAAACAACTTGCATTTTTTTTCTTCCTGGAGAGAAATGAACACACATTTTCAAGTCTCTTATTTCCCTTCCATCTCCTTGTATAATAATGTCTTTATTGATTCAAAACATTCTTTTCAAAATATTTTCAGTTTGGAGCTTTGCATCTTAGTTCCTCCAGTTTACATGAGAGATGCAAATTTTGAGGAATTTAGAGGCTGTTTATCCCATAAGTATGTTTTCCCTGGGGAACTTTAAACCGTTCTAGACCAAGGCTTCTCATACTTACTGTGTGTCTGAATCATCAGAGCCTGGTGCAGATTCCGATCCAGCCATGTGGGGAGGCGGGGATGCCAAGAGTCAGCACCACCTCAAGGTCCCAGCTATTCACCGCTGCACCAAAGACATGTGGAGAATTGGGTTTTAAAGCACCCTGAGGCCAGGGCCAGTCGCTGTGTTCATCACTGAGTATCTGCCGCCTAGAATAATACCGGGTACAGAAGAGATGAGTGATTAATATTTGTTGAGTAAGAGAATCAATGACAAAAATGAATCAAACCAGATATTAATTATTTTATGACTGATGAAAGTCTCTGGAGAGCTCTCTTGATTGCTAAGGTGGGCATAATACCCTTAGCAAGAGTAGAATTCTTCCCCAGCTGCTGATTAGGAAAGAAATTCAGCCTGAAGGATGGAATATGTTGTGGACCCCAACAGATGTGGATATGCCCAATGAGACCCTGGGAATGGCCATCTCAGCACGGCACATCCGTGCCCCAAAGCCCTCGGTGCACCCCCGACATGCAGAACACAGAACAGAGGCAGAGCTGTGTTTCCACAGAATGCTCATAAAAAGGTTGTAAGCAACAGGAAACGTCCGGCTCTATTGTGGGTGACCCTGATAATTCAGAAACCAGACATGAATCTGCCCGTATCATTATTTGTTCATTTGCCATGGACATATATCGAAACTGAATTATTGGTGACTTTTGCTGAAACTGGCGTTGAAGTGAGGGGCTAAGCCTCCGAGAAATGCTCCAGACAGAGGCCCAGGGCCTGCTCTGCCTTAACCAGAGAGCAGAAAGTGAATGACTGCTTCAGCTTAGAGTCACAGTGTTCCCACCTCTCCCTTCCCGAGGGTACAGGAAGATGTTTTACTTGCTCCATCACCTGGTTGCTCTTCCAGGGGACTTAAGGTCACTTTGAAAGTGCTGATTGCAGCAGATCCTAGAGAGGCAAAGAAAGCTGGGCCTCAGGTTGGCTGCTCCTGTGGGCTGGTGCCAGCCATGGAGAGCCCCCACAGCCTCTGCTGTGACAGGCTGCAGCGGGACTCCAGGACGTGGTCTTCAAGGTTTGGGTGAGCAGTGTTGGTCATGAATGTCCCCAGATTTGCACAGCCTGATCCCTCAAGCTAAGCACCCACTTAGTTTGGCACCACACACCCGGAGTTTTGAACCCTGATCTGGGCCATCTTCTGCAGGTCTTCTTTCATGGCTTAACCCTTAACACTGTTGAGCTGGGAGCCTTGTTGGAGCGCCACGTACGTGATTTAGTCTAGACTTGTGTAGTGGCCTTTTGAGGTGGATTAATCACAATGGGTCCAGGTGCCGCTGCCTCTCTAGTCACTTACCCCCTGATTTCTTTGCCCCAGTGGATCTTGGATGGGTCCAGTTCACAGTTTGTGGTGTGTGCACCCAGCCAGCTGATGAAGGATCATCTACTGGGCACACCCCTTCCTTCTCTGCTCCGGCCCAGAGCCCTGGGATGTGAAGGCCCAGGCACAATGAGCAGTGATCCCTGCAGCTGGCAGAACCGCCCAGGCACTGCAGCCGGTGAACCTGGGGTGGAGCAGTGACCAGGAGCTGGCTCATGAAGCCTTTCCCAGTGAGGACCACCTGAAGGGTGGCTGAGTGAGGACATTCCCTGAAGGATTGGTTCTTTTACATCGGACACAGAGAGCAAAACTGATATCACCAGAAATGCACCCGTTTCCTGCGTTCATCAGACCATCAATGGCTCCCCAAGAACATTCCAGGCTTATGATAACCTTTCCCCTCTGTCCATACCTGAAGTTAATCGAGGACCTGGGCAGCAACCACAGTCATAGAGGGAGACCACCTGGGCAAGGGGGATGCTTGGGAGGGGAAGGAAGAGGAACCCTGCATTCCACAGTAGCCAGGGCTGGTGTAGGCCCTAAGAGTTAGGGGAGAACCAACAGGTAAGAAAGTACCTTTGCCCTGCTTCTGGGTCTGACATCAGCAATATTCTCTCAAATACTTAATTAGAAACCAAAAAGGGGGAACCTCTTGTTCTGTAATCAAAGAATAACTCATGGGTAACCTTCTTGGAGGTTGGAACCTAAGGGTATTTTTTTTCTCACTATTGCCTATTTGAGGAGATAACATGCCAATCCATGAATATCCATTATTATTTGGTATAATTATTTTTACCAAGTTTACTCTGCCCCAGAGTGCCTGATCTCAGGAGTTCCCTCGGGCTATAGCTGTTGAAACCCCAGCCTGAGTGACCCCAGTCATACCAGGGCTGCCTCCCACCTGAGCACCTGGAAGGGTCACCAGCTGGCTCAGAAATCTCCTGCAGGAGCCCAACCCAGTGCCCAGCATGAAGCACTCTGGGAGAGGGGGTGAGCAGGGGCAGTTTGTCTGTACTGGGGCTGAGCATCACTTCAGATGCCTTTTATTGACCCTCATCCTCACTGAAGATGTGCTGGCATGCAACAGCTGCCTTCTTCGGTGGGTGGGCACAGTGATGCCAGCCCTGTGCTGGGACCTGGCAGCCTGGTTACCATTCTGTGTTGCTCTCGCAGTGCTCAGCCAGCTGTGGGGGAGGTGTGCAGAGGCGTTCTGTGCAGTGCATGGCAGGGGGCCGGCCAGCCTCTGACTGCTCACCACACCAGAAGCCTGAGTCCTCCCTGGCCTGCAACACTCACTTCTGCACCATCCCAGAGAAGAAAGGTGAGCACTGGAGCCCCTCATGTGGGATGGGGGTGTCAGGTTTCAGGAGTAGTTCCTTGGAAGGCCTGTGGAAGTGGGGGTGCCCATGGCTGGAGAAATCCAGAGTTGGGCCTTCTGTCCATTATGCCCTTTCTTTTTTGTCACTTCGTCCTCCAGTTTTATAATAAAATAGTTACGAAGCAGGCCTCTGCCATCTTCATGCCTCCTTAGAAAGACAGAGCTGTTTGTGATGTAAGTCTGACCTTAAAAGGCATATGATTCCTGACTCTGGCAAGGCTATTTACAATACTTGAAGAAGAAAAATTTAACTAACGGAGCTTTTCACCCTGCATTACACAAAGGTCTCACTTTCTTCTAATGGTCTCAAAACACCACCCGTGCCTGAAGCAGCTGCAGAGCTGGCAATCTGCCATGGTTCCTCTGACAGCAAATGGAACAGGGGACAAGGAATGGGCTCACCCAGAGAAGAAGGCAGTTGGTGTTCAGTCCTAGAGAACCCATCATCTTGGAGGATGGGTGATTGGGTGGGTGCATGTAACACAAGAAGAAGCTCAAAATTTTTCCAGAAACTCCCACAGGTCTTGGGAAAAGTAGAAGTTCTACAGGTCTCTGTTAGACCTGAAGAGCTGCCCTCCAATGATAAGTCTGCCGTTATTTAGCAAGCAGAGGTCTGCCGATGCTGTGCTCAGTGCACTTGGCTAACGTAGAGTATGCTTGTTTCTAGACACCTTCTGCAAAGACTACTTCCACTGGTGCCACCTGGTGCCTCAGCATGGGATGTGCAGCCACAAATTCTACGGCAAGCAGTGCTGCAAGACTTGCTCCAAGTCCAACCTGTGAGTCGGACCGGCCCCCACGCAGAGAAGACACTGAGCAGCAGAGGAGTCTCAGCACAGAGTCTCTGTACCGTCCACAGTGGGATGCCTCCAAGGAAGCTTCAGCTGGAACAGGGAACACAGTGCTAGGCCCTTTGACCCAGAGTGCATGCACAAGTGTTTCAGGGTGAGGCACATGCATACCCGTGCCCATGCGGTGCACGGTCTCCTGTTGGGGTGACCTGTGGGGCCCTGTGGGCTAATCTCTGGCATATCAGGCAGGAGGGCCCACACTGTGAAGCAGGAGAAGCAGTGCTCAACCACATTTACATTCCAGCTAAATCAGTCCAAAGACAGGCAGAGCTGACCATGCTGAACACTAAACGATTGGTGCTTTGTAAAATGAAGGAGAGGCTGTGAAATAAGAAAAGTGCACTAATATACCAGCTTCCCGCCTCACCTCAGAGGCCCCTCTGCGCTCAGGGTTGGAGGGGCAGGTGCTGTGGAGCTCCCTGGCTCTGCCCAGGTTCCCCCTCCTACCCCAGTGGCCATGGGGGTTTAGGTCATCCCTCAGGTGCTCCCAGGCCCCTGATCTGGACATTGCTTACGAACCCAAAGAGGGAAATCCCTGCTCAAGGGCCTCTTCCCCTTCAGACGCAGGCGCTGGAGGAGAGACCTTCCTACTTACTGTTTTATCTTTCTCAGTTACTTACCAGCGAGGTTTCCTATTCGAACCTGTTTCTTAGTGCTTTTCTGGTTTAAATGATGGATTGGATGAACAGGTTACAGCAAGATCTGACTCTCCCGGCATTAGGGGTTCCTGCCATGAGAGATGTCTGCGGAGCAGTCTGTGTGATCATAACCGGAAGCCTTGCGGTCTGATTTTGTGTGTCGTGGGGTTTTCAAATTCATTCTGTGAGTTTGGTTGTTTCTGTGGAACAGGTCGAGGAGGAAGGCCGGCTGCACCGTGGGCCTCCACCGTCTCCCTATCCTCATTGGTGCTTAATTCTGGCTCCCCTCCTATGGTGTGGCTCCGTTCTGAATGGGCATCTGGATATTTATATTTGCCGAAGTTTTATAATAAATTTTATATTGTACGGAAAGCCCCTGAGTGGCACTGTGACTCTCCGTGAGCTTTGCTTCCCAGATGGAGGGCTGGCAGGAGATACTGGAAAGTGAGCCTCACAGAGGGAGGAGCAGGGCTGGAGGGTTTCAGAAAGGGCTGGACTAGACCAGGAGAGATGGTTCCGTGAGGCAGAGGCTGCAGGGGTGACGGTGGCCTCGGGCAATGGAGGTTTGGTGCCATGTCCAGTGGGAAAGCTGTCCTGACCCTGCGACCCCTGCTTGCCAATCAGCATTCTCCAAAGAAGCAGAACCAATAGGACATACAGAGAAAAGTGGGGTGATGGGTTAAGGAACTGGCTTGCCTAATTGTGGAGCCTGGATACCCTGAAACCATACAGAGGACTGCAAAGCTGGACATTTAAGGCTGAGTGGATGTGGCCTTCCTGGGTCTGCCTCCATGAGACAGCGGGCTGCATACTTGGGCAGGGTCCCCATGGTGCCAGCTTGGGACAGAATCCCTTCTTAGTGAGACCTCAGTGCTGGTGTCTAAGGGCTCATCTGATGAGACTGAGGCCCACCCATGGAGTGGAGGGAGATAGGCTTTCCTCAAAGTCTACTGACTTACCCTAATCGCATCTACAAAATACCCTGACAGCGTCTAGTCTGGTGTCTGTCACGGAGTCTGTCCAAGCTGACACATGAACTCATCCATTGTAGTCCCCACGGTTGGATGTAACCAGCCCACGGGAAGCCACTGCTGCCCCGTCGTTGAGGCGACCCTGGCCCCTCAGAATGTCAACTGCTGACCAGCAGCTCCACGGGGTCGGCCCCAGGCCCCTGGAGAGCCTGCCTGGTTCACAGAACACCTGCATTCGCTCAGCCCACACCACCCGTAGCTGGGCCTGAGCACGGGAGGAGATGGCCCTCATCCCATTTCACAGAGAGGAAATCAGGACAGGAAACAAATGTGGCTCTTCCTAGAATCACACACCAGGAAAAACGTCTCTGAGGGGTGCTAGGAGAAAAGGGGCCACCTATTTCACGGCCAAAACGCCAGCACCAGGGACCTGTTGATTCTCCAAGGCACTCAGCGGGTCTCTAGGCCTCTGCACAGAGAGGACTTCCAGTGTCCATGCTTACTGTCCTCAGTAGCTCCTCATCAGACACCTGCTGGGTGGAGCTGAGAGGGGGCAAGAGCGGCCCAGATGTGGTCCCTACCCAGGGACCCCATCTGTCTCTGTCAGAGAGAAAATGCACAGCCACATATTGATGCAGTTCAAGGCTGATCAGGCCCCAGAGGACAGGGTCAGGGACAGGCAAAGGAAGAGATTTGCTTCTGTTCAGAAGGGAAATGATGGGTCAGAGAGGGGAAGCTTTGATCAGGTGCTTAAAATGGAGGAAATCACAAGCAGTCGGAGGAAGGCGTAGCGGGCATCTGTGCCCCTCCGGGGAAGGTGCTAGGCAGTCGAGGGAGGGCCAAGGGCTGCCCAGGGCCAAGGCTTGAGGGGACTGTGGGACTGACCAGTACTGGTGAATCCCCCTCACCTGGGCGTGGCCCCTCCAGCTCACATCCCGACAAGGAGGAGGAGGGGCTCTGGTTCAGACCTGCCAGGCCCACCCAGAGCCTGCACCTGCTGCAGCCGCACTCGTGCTCAGCCACAGGATTAGTCGACAGCACTGCGTGCCCCATCACTCACCGGCTGCCAGTCAGCCGGGGCACAGCTGGGTTGGACCAAGGAGCAAGTACCCTCACCTCCACGTGGACCCTCCTGATGGACAGGCCTGAGCCCCCCCATGGCAGCCTCTCTGCTGGCAGCCCTCCCTCAGCGGTAGCCAGCGCAGCCCCTCCCACCCCAGCCAGAGTGAGGTGGACCCACCCAGCCCTCCCAGTGGTGTCCAGACACCTGCAGAGCTCCTGGGAACCACATGCTGGGCCCTGCTCTGCCCCCCACTGTAGTCTCAGCCCCGGGGATGAGTGGAGGGCAGGATGATCCACCACCCACACCCCCGTGTGAAATGCCCTGAGCTCCCAGCACAGGTGGGTCCACGGTCACTGTTCTTCACCCCGTTGCTTTCTCACTGCACTCAGCCTCAGCCTCAGCCACATACTCCCAGAAACTGCAGCTCCCAGGAAGTGGCTCTCTGGTTCCGGTGACCCGATCCTGATGAATCCTGGTGTGCTGTGCACTGCCCCGATCTCCAAGTGTCATGGGGCCAGGCTGGTGGAGAGCAGAGAGGCGTCTTCACGACCGGCACAGGGCCCGGGCACCTGCAGGGGCTGACACTGGACTCTGGCTTTGAGACCTGGGATTCACCTCTTCACGGGGATTTTCTCTGCTTGTTTCTCAGTTGCTTTCAGAGGCCACAAGGGAATCACAGACAGCCTTTGTCCTTCTCTGCCTGGGCCCCCAGGAACCTTGCCAGGTGCTGCTCCCTGGAGCCCAAGGGCAGGGTGGGGGCCATCCCAGTGCTCCAGGAACCAGCCCCCAGGAATTCCCTGCTGAGCCAGGCGTGGGCAGAACAAAGCTGTGGGAGGAGGAGGAAGCAGCACAGACAGACACCCCAGAGCTGGCAGTAGCAGCCCTGCCTCCCAGTCTGCCGTCTGCCCATCTGTCTCCCTGCAACTCTGCAAAATCTCCCTGCCTAAACTCTTGGCTCCCAGCAACCCTGACAAGGAAGGTCTAAAGGAGACTTCAGAAAGGGAAGCACCCCCAGCACAGCCCAGCACTCCCTCTGGGCCTTCCTAGGTCAGAGCTCACCCCAGCCCACCCCAAACCTGCTGTGCTGCTGGGCTTTGTCATTCTGAGCAGCAGCTTCTGGAAAACCAAACCACCACCTCAGCCTGGAGCCTCATTAAGTGCTGGGTGCTCACGCCTCTGCCTCCGGGCATGCAGGGACCTCCCGGGGTCTGCTGAGTCTCCCCTGGCAGGGAGGCCAGATTCCCAGGCTCAACTCTGACTCTGGTACTAGGCACCTCTCCACGCTTCTTGTCCCTGTCCCTCAGGTGCAAGGAGTGTATCATGGCCCCATATCTGCTTTTCACTTCCTTCAGGAGGATGGAGTCCTGTGGTCTCTTGGAGCTGGAGAAAATCTCAGGGACACTGTAGTCAGACCTTCTATCAGTCAGCGTGGTCCCTGTGATGATAACCTCCAGATCCCATGGCATGCAGCCATGAAGGTTATCTCTTTCCTGTCTCATGTTGACTCACATGACTTTGGTTCTGTTCTCTGCCTTTTCTTCAGCCCTGAATCCAAGTGGAAGGATGGCTCCTATCCAGGACTTCCTGTTCCACTGACCCAGGAAAAACAGTAAGAAATTACTAGAAATGCAGGCTGCCTCTCAATGCCTCTGCCTAGTGTGGGCACACTGTGGCTTGCACCCACACCCCACTGGCTGAACACAGGACATGATCAAGTCCTGTGTGGTCGGTGGCATGGTGGGACATATAATGCACTGTGCCAAGAAGGAATGAAAACTGTAGAAGAGTGATACCATCAATCACATGTGCAGGGTGGTCAGTTCCAAGCTAAATAAGGCAGGGTCCCTTCCCTTGGGGTGTACAGTGAACAGGTATGTTATATTAGCTACCCGTGTGACCTTATGTAAGTCAATTCACCTCCCTGGCTGTTGGATTTGTTGTTTATAAAAAGCACTTCACTCTTCCAGGTTCCTCCAAGAGTATATGATGCTAGATGCTAGCGCTTCCCTCTCACTTACTATTATGCAGTCAATTCTTCACTTAAAGTCACACCCCAGCCTTGAGAACAGGACTGAGGCTCACGTGGCATTGACGAAGAGGAAGTTCTGCTGTCAGAAGCCAGACACAGAGAGTTCTGGAGAATTTTTAAGGATGATTTTGGTGATGCCTTTTGAAAGCCTTATACAACCACATTCATACTGCAGGTCATGGACAGAGCAGAAACCACCTCTGATATGTGGACAGGCCAGGTGGGTAGAGTCCAGGACAACTTGCCCCCTTGGCAAAGAAGGGGATCAAAGGCGACTTTGAGATCCTCCTGCCAGTGGCCTCCAGCAGGAGTCATACCCATGCTCACATCCTGCCATCACACTGACAGTGGCCTGGCTCCCTTCTGGGGTCTGGACGTCACAGAGGAGCTTCCCAGTGCTCACAGCTGCCGCCAGGGGACCATGACTTCATGATGGGGATTTATTCTCTGATCTCAGGGCTGTGGATGGCTGGCCCTGTGGCAGATGCCCCAGCAGGAGGCTGAAAACCACAAAGGATCTGTGGTGGGTCTGAAATCACAAGAGCGAATCCAAAGCCTGGAGAGTGCCAGCAGCACCTGTGTCCCCCCACCATCTAGCAAGAGCGGGCCAGGAGCCCATGGCAGAGGGGGCAGGCTAGAGCATGGGAGGGCTGGGCAGAGCCTGACTGATCTGCTTTGCTGGCTCATCTGGCTGTCACCATCTTCTTCCCAAGGCCAAGAACAGCCTGCTGATCTCTCCCACAAACAACAGGCTCTAGATCACCAGGACAAATGGAAGGCCAGGTCTGTCTCCATAATCCCCCTGCAGGACCATTTCCTCTGGTTCATGACGGTGCAGGGGTGTGCCGTTAGCTCCCAGTGCTCATGCAAGCTGAAAGCCGTACCTTCCCGGGGGCATTTGAGGGTGGCAGAGGGGTCCTACCTGGAGCGGGCCTCCTCCCAGGGCATGTGGACCCCCTCGGGTCTATCTGCTTCCTGTCTTCGGTGAGTGTAGTGGTTCTAGGACGTGCTGTGCTGTCATGTTTTCACAGCCCCAAGCTCACTTCCTCACCCCTGGGCACCCTAGACTCTCCTCTTGTATCACTTCCTCTTGTGGACCACATCCCCAAGCTCCCACACTGAAGCCCTGACTTCCAATGTGTCCAGAGCTTTTAAAGGGGTTAAATGAAGTCACAGGGTGGAGCCCTAATCCAGCAGGACCACTGTCCTTGTAGGAAGAGGAAAAGACCCAGAGATCCCCCTGTGTACACAGACAGGGAAAAGGCCATGTGAGGGCACAGTGAGAAGGTGACATTTACAAGCCAGGAAGAGGGACCTCACCTAAACCAACCCTGCTGGGCCCTTGACCTGCGACCTCTCACTCCAGAACTGTGGGGAGACAAAGTTCTGTGTTGAAGCCTCCCAGGGTATGTGCGTGTCTTTGTCTCTCTTCTCTCACAGTATTTTCTTATTCTTTTTTCCATTTTTGTTTTAGAATGAGGGTTGTGTAATCGTCTATGCCTCTCTCAGCTCTTGGAAATTTTAAATGAAGTTAGAACAGATGTTAAGAAGAGGAAAAAACCTTGTGCTATTTTTACAAATTTGTGGTCAAGTAGATCTCAAGGTCCTAGGTGTAACCATTCATTATTGGAAGTTTCATCAAGAAAGAGCATGTGTAATTTGAAAACACACACACACACACGCACACACACACACGCACGCACGCACACACGCACACACGCACACACACGCACGCACGCACGCACACACACATACACACACACAGTAGTTTTATTGATCAATTGATTGATTTTGGATACTGAGAATTGAACCCAAGGGGGCATAGTCACTGAATCACATCCCCAGCCTTATTTTTATTTTTTTTTATTTTGAGACAGATTTTCACCAAATTGTTTAGGGCCTTGCTAAGTTGCTGAGGCTGGCTTTAAGCTTGAAATCCTCCTGCCTCCGCCTTGTGAGCTGCTGGTATTACAGGTATGCGCCACCCTGGCTGGCAAAGGAGTTGAGTTTCACTCTCACCATAGCCAATGGTGCAGCGTGTGACAGATGGCACACTTCTCGACTTGAAGGAACAGAAGGCCATGGCAGGTGAATGTTCAGGACCTCTCAGTACCGTCCTGCTGTTACCGGTGACAAGTCCTTGCTTCCCAGACGTTGAAGAATAACAGCAGAAAAGCACACGCCGAGGCAAGGTCAGAGTAGAAATTACAAGTTTATTAAAGGACAGCAGAAAAGACTTCTCCTGGAGGAAGAAGGGGACCCAAAAGGTGGAATCCGTTGGCAGGCAAATGTGTTCCCCTTTTTATAGGTTTAGTGATGGAATGCACGGGGAAGGGTTAGGACACAGGTGGGCCAAACTGGCAGGAAGGACTTAATTATCACTTTTTGGGATGGGCTTATCACTTCTCTGGGATGGGCTATCTCCGAATCTGTTGGGGGCTGTTTCCTGGGCTCCATTAACATTTCTTTGGGGTGGGCTTTGGCCTAGGGCCTTTCCGGGACTTCGTTAACATTCCATGAGTTGTCCTGCGGTCCCGGAATCATGGTCAGCATGGCCTCCATTTTAGATCTCACTCGGTATTAGACCCGATTTACCTAACTGCACTGACTGCCTCACTTTAAATCTGGCTTCACTGCCTCTCCGGTGCTCCTCCACAGCAGGACAGAATTACTAAGACTCGTCACACCCTTCATGTGGGTGGCTTTTCTGTCTGGAAATGGATGTTCACGTCCAGGGTCTCCAGCCCCGTGGCAGGTCCCACCAGTTCCTATCTCATGGTCGCTGCTCCCAGCTCCAGGAGGAAGCTTTGTCTTGGGGAAGACTGCTGAGATGAGGTGGAGACCAGGTACACGGGCAGAGAGCCTGGACAATGTCCCCACGGGCATTTGCTGTGGCATGACCTGGTAGGCCTCCAGTCAAGCTCTATTTTAGGGGCTACAGAAGCCGAACACCTATGACCTGGGGTTTAAGGTCTTTGTGGAGGACGGGGTCATTTCCCAGTCCTGAGGTAGAGGAACACTTTCTCCAAAGCACCCTGGAGGATTTCAACCTGCTTTCCGAGTTTTTACCACAGCAACGGGGGGACTTTTGAAGCTAAGCTCCCCTTAATATTTTGACTGTTTCTTTCCAACTGAGCCAAAGGTGTAGGGAAACAAGGCCCCAGCCTGACTCTGCCTGGCTCTTTCTCTCAGCAGCTGTCCTCACCCCTGTGCAAGGGCTTCCCTTCCGCCATGCCCACAGCGCCCTGGCCCACAAGCTCCACATGGCCTCAGCCTCAGGCTCTCTCACTCTGGTCCCCGAGGGCTGCTTCCCTGGGAGTCCTGGCGAAATCACCAGCTCACCTTAGATCGGAGTGTGTCCTCTGTCCAGCTCCCTCCCAGTTCCACTCCTGTGACCCATCCCTCCCACCTTCTGTCACCCCTGTACATTGAAGACTCCCAAACACACCCCTCCTTCCATTCACACAAGAACTGCCTAGCTTGAACCTTGGGTCTGAACACCCTAGACCCGACTGCGTTACTCCTAGCAGGGGAAGTGGTTTAGATGGGGACAGAGCCTTGTCTCAGAAGAGCACCAGTGGCCAGAAAGTAAGCTGGCACAAGGACCATCAGCCATGCTGCACAAGCCCCTGGGCCTTTGGCTTGGGAGAGGGGTGAGACATTTTTGCTTTAGGACTCAGTGAAGGCTGACTTGCTTAGGATTTCTCCTCAGCTTACAGGAAAGAGACAGAGAATGCTCCATGGCCCAGCCCAGAAGCCAGGATGGGGAGCATCAGGCCTCAGGAAGCCTCTGTGGGAGCCGTGAGGTTGAGCCAGAGGAGGTCCCACAGGACAAACTCTCAGTCAGCAGGTGTGCTGAAGGTGGAAGGACGGGGACTTCCTCATGAGAGCCATGAGCCAAGTGAAGGGCAAAGATTCTCATCAGAGAGGCCCTGATCTTCTTGTAAGTTAATGTTATCAGGGAATAAGTCATAAATGATTGAGGAATAAATTAATGTGTATGTTTGAACCAGACTTCTTCAATAACGAGAGAGCAATTGTGAAGGTATTTAGCAAACCCTAAGTCTCTAGGTTGAAATCAAATGGCCAGTGGTGCCACTGTGCAGACCCAGCACAGTGAGGCAGAGGGCCCCTGCTAGGCAGCTGCTGGCTTCGTCTTGAAAAGCAGATCAAAGACACAAAAACACTCAAAAAAGCCATAAAATGCAAGATATTGTTAGGATAAAGTTGTGATGACTCAGTGGTGATTAATTCCCCTTTAAAAAGAAACCCTATGCACATATCTCAGATCTCCTTAACCACTCCTCAGCTCTGTCTTCTGACAATGGAAAACAAGTATGTTACTAATATTCATAGTAATTTATTCATAGCTCATCGTTGAAGATACCTTTTCTTTTCTCCTCCTCAACCATAATGTGCTGCCAACCAGGGCTGGGTGCACGGTGGGCATGGAGGAAGATCTGAACACGGGCTCTCCCTTAGTGCAGGCGGGTACTCAAGCACACAAGAAAACCACTGCCTGGAGCAGGCTTCAGCCACTGTGTGCCAGGAATCTCCGTCCTGGGGGTCATGATCTGGTTTCAGTCACATGAGACATTCTTTGTGGATGCTCTCAGATCGCTGCACTTGGAGCGAGTGTGCACACATTCCTCAGGGCTCAGCAGTTCTGTCCTGAACACCAGGTCCCCAAAGCATGTGGTTTCTAGGGTCACAAACCCCAAGAAACTTTTCATTCCAGAAACCTCTCTGCCAATTTCCCTGGATCACTGCTTCTCTTTGTTTTTCTCCCTTTTACCCAGTTTTACCCACCCCAAGACATTTGAGACAGTAAAACTTGCAAATGTCTGGTCACACTGTGGGGTCGGGTTAGCTAATAACGTCTAATAGGCATGTGGCTAAATCCATTCACCCCAGTTCATCACTAGGTCCTTCTTCCCCATTGTGTTTGCAGCAAGGTGCTATGAAGTTACAAGGAGCCAGTCCCCGTCCTGGAGCTGCTTTCTCACTAACTGTGGGAATAAGTTTTGCAAATGTGAAACAAAAGGCATCCAACCCAAAAGCATGCAGGACCGAGGGTGGAAGGCATGTGTTAAGGTTAAGGTGTGGAAAGAGGAGCCAGTCCTCAGACTGGGCGCTGGGGTCTGCAGGGAGGCTAGACTCTCCAGCTGGTACCTCCACATGAGCACTTCTCTAGTGCAGCCGGAAGGGAGGACGATGGGAAAGGGGCTAAGTATCAAGGACACCTTCTCACTGAAGCCCTGGAGGCAGGGCTAGAGTGGAGTCTAAGGGAACAGGACTGCATCATCAAGAAGCTGTCAGGCAGAGTGGGCCATGGGGTGAGACAGGGACACATCCTCAGTGAAACAGGAAGGGTAGAGGTAGGACGGGCCTCCAGGAGGAGGAGCAAGGCCCATCACTGGAGGTAGAGAACGTGAGAGGGCCAGGTGTGCTCCTTGATGGTGAACTTCCCAGACTGCAGAACTCCGAACCATGAAGGTCTTGGTTTCAGAATTTCCCAGTCTAAGGTACAGACGATCCTAACTTACAATGATTTGGCTTATCATTTTTGAACTTTACAATGATATAAAACGATACCTATATAGCCATTCTGTTTTGCACCTTCAGGACAGAATTTAAAGAAAAAATACATGAGATACTCAGTGCTTTAATAGGAAACAGGAGCTGTATGAAATTATGGCCTAACACCATCCCAAATCAAAGAGTATGTGCGTTCTGTCATAACAACCCAGGGTAAGACAGGATCTAACATACAGAGTATATACATATATATTATATATTTATAAATAAAACTTGTACAGATTGACAGTAAAAGGACATTTAAAAGGTTATTTGATCCAAGTAAAAATGGCCAAATAATTGCTTTACACTTTTCTCCAAAGAAGATATACAGATGGCCAACAAGAACATGAAAAGACACTAAATATTATTGGTCATTAGGGAAACTCAAAACCACAGTGAAATAGCCCTTCACACCCACCATCATAGTTATAATAATAATGATGATAAAAATGTAAAATGCCAAGTGTTAAGAATGCAAAATGTTGCAGCCACTGTGGAAAATGGTTTGGCAGGTCCTGACAAAGTAAAACTCCGCATTACCATAAGATACAGCAATGACACTCTAAGGTACAAACTCAAAAAAATTGAAAAGCACACTCTCTGAAATACTTATGAATATTCATAGTGACATTATTCATAATAGCTAGCCCTACACGCTGGCCTTCTCTGGAGTACATCGCCCTGCTCTGCTCAGGAGCCAAGCTCAGGAGACTCGTGATCACTGCCCTTTGCTAGAATCCAGGAGAGTCAGTTCCAAGAGGCAGAGAAGCCGCTGGGAAGAGGTGAGAGTCGGGAACAGAGCAGTGGCCTCTCCTGTTCACGTCAGATCTGCGCCAGGTGAGGCAGTGCCTGAGCACCTTCCCTCCCGTCTCTGTGTTCGGGACAACCTGGACCTTGACAGGCCTCTGGTCTCAGGGCTGGCCTGAGCTCTCACAGCCCATGGGGGGCTGCAGACCCACGCTTCCTCCTGGATTTGTCAAGCCTGGGGCTGGGAAGGTGCCTGTGGCTTTCCCTGGGGGGGGGGATGTTTCTATGAGCCACCCCCCAGGGTTAAATCAGACCCGCAGACAAACCTACCATGTGTTCTTTTCTTCTCAGTGATACTAACCTGTTTCTGGGACAGAACTCCTTTTGGTTTTATTACTGTGTTTTACAACGAATCCAAAATTGTTCACATCAAATATGAATTTATGAAACAATGTTCATTTGCCTCTTTGATTGGTATTGCTACGATTTGTAGTGAAGGGTTGGAGCCTGGCACTTCTTCTTGGTGCCTTCCTGCCCCCTAGTAGGATCTGAGGCCAGAAGAAAACTGTGTGGCCAAATCCTTGGTGAGGGAGGTAGAGCAGATTTCACAGGCAAACAAAGGAGGAAAGCAATTAATCCACCAACCCACTTAAACCACATTGGCTGTGAGGAGACACGGCAAGGGGAATGGCAGGAAAGGGGACCCTAAACATCAGCACGCTTTTCCCAGACTGCCCACCACTCCCCAGTCCCATCCACCAGGCCCTGGCCGGCCTCCTGTGTGGTGGACCCTCCACACATTCACTTCCTTTTAGCATGACTCATTCCACAATGGCTGGACCTTCCCAAGGCATGTGACCCCCATCCCCTACACCCTGACAGACCACCCTTTCCTGACGTTGTTTCTTAAGGGATTCTGACTGGTTTATCTCTAAGTATCTGAGAAATCAATTACAGATGGACCTTTACGACCTCGCACCCCTTGCCCTCTGCATCTTTCCTGTGCTTTGCATCGGTGTTCTCAGGCCCCAACGTCCATGAATGGTCCAGGACTGGGCTTAGAAAAATAAGGCCTTGGATGCTTAACACCGTCCACCTTTCAGGGCCTTGAATTTGAGGGAGGAGTTTATTTGGGAGAAAGTAACCGTTCAAAATAACTGAAAACAGAATTCAGAATCACCAGAGGCCCAGGGAGCCTGCCACTAGAAGTCACCCCCATAGGCCAGAGACCCAGAATTATTCCAAGTGGCCAGTCCTGAGCCCTTCCCCATCTTTTCCCAGGAAATGCGATGGAGGGTCTGGCCTGGACTCCCTCCTCCTTCCTCCTTTCTGCCTCCTGAGGACACTGGTGCTTCCTTGTATGGCCCTGCGTGGCATGGAGACCCCTGCTCTGAAAGCCTAAGTAATAAAGATCCCCCATGTTCCTTTCTGTGTCTTTTCCCTCTCTGTGCCACCACTCAGTCAACTTCATAAGTTAAAACCCTGGCGCCTTCTGACGTCCATACACACACCAGGACTCCCTGTTGGCTACCAGGTTGACTGGAACAGAGCAGAAGGTGAAGGAGCCCCTCCCCCCAATCTGAGGCTGGCAGCTGGGGACGATCTTGGTCCTGGGTGTGGACACCAGGAGAGCTGGGCAAGGCGCCTCTCCAAGAGTGACAACCTCACTAATTACTCGTCCACTAAGCTACTGGAGAGTGCCAGAGGGGACAACAGTGTCCCAGCCATCCAACCAGCACCAAGGACGCCACTAGACATGCATACATATGATCTGTGGCTGGAATACTTGGGGGCGGGGTTCCTTAGTATTACTCCCACTAATTTATTTACGAATGGCCTGTGGATGCACGAGGCCTTCCTCCTCTTGGCTTTTCTTCTGAAATCGAGACACAATTCGCATGTAAGTTTCACCCTTTGAAAATGTACAATTCAGTGGTTTTGTCAGTATATTCACAAAGTTTTGCAATTGTCACCACTATCCAGTTCCAGATGCTTTCATCATCCCAAAGACAAACTTCATACATTAGCAGTCAGAGTCTCAGCCTCTGCTAACCACTAAATTGCTCTCTGTCTCTGTGACTTTGCCTACTCTGGGCATTTCTCATAAATGGAATCATACAGTGCATGGCTATTATATATGACTTCTCTCACTTACATAGTAAAAGCATTTCTTTATCATAGATAATGGGAGTCCTGCATAGTGTTTACCAACTCATCAGCTGATGGGCACTGGGGCTGCTAGGAGCAGTTGTGTGCAAGGCTTTATGTGAACCCATGTTTCCATTTCTCTTGGGTTTGTTGCTAGGAGTAGAACAGCTGGGTCAGGTGGCAACTCTTTAACATTTTGAGGAACTGCCAACTTGGTTCCCAAAGCAGCACCCTTCACTTCCCCCCAGCCGTGAGGGCGCCCTCTGTGCTCCTTCTCCACAGCCCTTCCACCGTCCATCTTTATTTTAAAAGCCACTCCAGTGAGTACAAAGAGCGCCTCCTTGTGCTTTTGATTTGATAGTCCTAATAACGAATGATACTGAATATCTTGTAAGTGCTGGGGGGAGGCTTGTGTATTTTATTTGGATAACGATCAATACAAGTCTTTGGTGATTTGCAGTTGGGTCACATGTCTTCTTGTCACTGAGCTCTAAGCGTGTTTACGTGTTGTGGGAATGAGTCCTTTGTCAGAGACAGGATTCGCGAGTGCTTCTCCCTTTCTGAGGATTGTTTTTCAACTGTCCTCACACTGTCCTCTGGACAACAAAAGTGAATTTCAGTGACATCTGGTTTATCTGGATTCTTCTCTTGCTGCTTGGCCTTTTGGTATCTTCTCTAAGATAAGATTGCCCAATCCCAGATCTCGAAGATTTACGCCTGTGTTTTCTTCTGAGAGTAGAATCCTCCTTTGCTCTTGAGGAGTCCAGCAATGATCTACACTCTTTAAGGAGGACAAGAAAAGAAGGAAAAATATTAGAGAAAAATGAGTCAGTCCGTTTCATTCTCTTTAGGTAATCCTGAGAGATTAAAGCCAGAGTGATAGGAGACCAGCCCTGACAGTGGAGTAGAAAAGGTGTACTTGTATATTTGGGGAACCCCTGGTTCTTTCTGCAGCCTTCCCTCTTAGCTCCTGGATGCACCTTCTGCAGTGTGATCGAATTGGGCACAGTGACGGGCGGTGGGTGAAGGAGGCTCCAAGCCCTTCCAGGACTTCACTCCCTGTCTCGTTCTAATCATTTTTCTGCAGCTGAAATCATTCCACATCCAAACCTCATTTCCTCTTTTTCTAGAATGCTCTAAAAATCTAACACTCCAGAGTTTTCACCATTCCTCCAGAGCAGGGGGCTTCCCAGCTTACGTCCACCTCCCTGCAGACAGGAAGCATATTCCAGCCTCCTGGACACTAGGTGTCAACGTGTCTAGACCCTCAGCATGGAAGGGCCTGTCCTCCTTTCTCTCCAGACACCGGGACTCCCTTCCTAAAGTGAACTCCCAGCCTCCACCTAAGCTCACCGGGTCCTTCCTTCCTCCCACCCGGTATTCTTCCAAGTGGGTCAGGACATGGCTGCACCTCTTCCCCACCCCAGGCCCCTGGGCTCACAACTGTTGCTCACAAATTCAGGAAATTAAGAAAAAATAAAATAGAAAGTCATTCAACCCATGCATCCTGCCCAGCAAAAATCCATCTATGGTTCTTTCCTAGGCAACATCCTTCAAGCTCCACATTTTCACAGATTTTATCACATCTGCCCCTAGAGGCCAAAGTGTCTCATTAATACACAGGGATCCCTGGAGTGTGTTTGGTTTGGTTTTCTGCTGCCAAACCGAGGGGGAGGTTGGAAGTTAAAGCCAACCCCTGGCATTTGATCACACTGTGTGTTTCATCATCCACCTCCCCATCCTTTATCAACTCACTTTTGATGGGAAAGAGATAAAACCACACACACACACACACACACACACCACTCCATTACTCCCAGTGATATATCCCAAATCATTTAGCCATAAATTCAAAAATTATAATCATAGTGCAAGTTACTTTGCAAGTACTCCATATTCGAATTTGCACGTTTAATGTCAAAAGATGGGTGGATTCTCATCTTACGCTGTTCCTTCAGTATCCGTTCACTGTCTACCTTTGAGCTGCTCTGTGTCACTCAGATGTCACTCAGAAGAGTTCAGAAAACCCAAAGGATAAACCACTTCCTCAAAGCTAGCATACGTCCAGATTCTCCAGACTTTAGCAAAATATAGTACCAAAATCAATCAGATTCTTCAAAGGAAAACACTATAGGTAGTGACAGAGAGGCCTGCTCAGAACACACAAGTGCAAAATAGCCAAAGTTCTCAAGTATATGAACAAAAAATGTCTCTAGTCCCTGTGCGAAATAAAGAATTTTGAGAACTTGTCATACAGATATTCTTCTCCAGTCTGGAAAACAACCTTTGGTCAGATATTTGGGACACATAAATTATCACAAGACTTCTAGGTTTATATCCAAAGAACTTTTTAAATAAGCCTACTACAGGGACACAGCCACATCAGTGTTTATAGCAGCTCAATTCACAGTAGCCAAGCTATGAAACCAACCTAGAGGATAAAGAAATTATGGTATATATACCCCATGGAACATTACTCAGCATTAAAATAGAATAAAATCATGGCACTTGCAGGTAAATGGATGGAGCTGGAGAATACCGTGCTTACTGAAGTCAGCCTATCCCCCAAAAACCAAAAGCCAAATGTTTTCTCTGATATGTGGATACTGATCCATAATGAGGATAGGGAGAGAGCATGGGAGGAATGGAGGAACTTTGGATAGAGCAAAGGGAAGGGAGGGGAAGGGAGGGGGCATGGGGATAGGAAAGTTGAGATGGACATCATTACCCCAAGTACATTTATGAAGATACGAATGGTGTGACTCTACTTTGTGAACAACCAGAGACGTGAAAAATTGTGCTCTGTATATGCACTATGAATTGAAACGCATTCTGCTGTTATATACAACAAATTAGAATAAATAAATAATTTTTTAAAAAAAGAAACCAATCTAGGTGCCCTTCAACCGATTAATGAATAAAGAAAATGAAAAAGGAAAAATATATACACAATGGAATATTACTCAGCTATAAAGAAGAATGAAATTATGGTATTTGACAGTAAATGGATAGAACTGAAGACTATCATGCTAAGTGAAATAAGCCAGCCCCAAAAGCCAAAGGTCAAATGTTCTCCCTGATATGTGGATGCTCACCCATAACAGGGAGGGTAGGAAGGGGAAGTATAGAAGTTCATTGGATTAGACAAAGGGAAATGAAGGGAGGGGGGAGGGGATGGGAATATGAAAGACAGAATGAATCAACATCACTTTCTATGCTCATATATGAATACATGACCAGTATAATTCCACATCACGTTCAAACACAAAAATGAGACCAAAATTGAAATAGATTGCACCCCATATATGTATTATATGTCAAAATACACCTTATTAGCCGGGTGCAGTGGAACATGCCTATAATCCCAGTGGCTTGGGAGGCTGAGGCAGGAGGATTATGAGTTCAAAGCCAGCCTCAGCAAAAGCAAGGTGCTAAGCAACTCAATGAGACTCAGTCTCTAAATTAAATAAAATACAAAAAAAAAATACACTATACTGTCATGAATATCTAAAAACAACAAATTAAAAAGTAAAAAAAAAAAGAAAAGAATATTGCATTACTAATAATATGTATTGGTAACAGTTCTCTAAATAGACAAGGTGCGAAGTGTTTGTAAACAGGAAATCCAAACTCAGAAAACAGTGTTAGCACCTGAATTCATAGAACTCTAAAATCAAATTTAAAGCGTTTCCAGTAACCCAAGGTCAACAGAAGTGGAAGGTCAGGGACACAGGCAGGTTTGACTCCAAAGCCAAGTTTAGGATCACCAGCGGGGGGTCTTCAAGTCAGCCGTCATTTTGACAACCACATGGCCATCTGTCCGTTTGATCTGCCATGTGCGTCCCTGACCAGCATGGAAGCTCAGGAGGGAGGGATCATTGCTGCCCCACAGCCCCAGGATCAGAACTGGACCTATGGTCGTGCCCAACGAGCTCTGCCTGGACAAGGCCTTGCTTTGAATCTAAAAGGTGCAGCAAGGTCATTCCACCACCATCAGGTCATTTATGGGAGGGTAAGAACTAATTGAAGTGATTCAGAGGAACCTCTGGACTGAGCAAAAGACAGAGACGCACAGTTTGCCAGTCCAGAGAAAGATGTTTGAAGTGCTCTGCCCTTTGTTTTATCATCAGTATTAGTGTGTGTCAGGCAAAGCTCCTGCTGGCTCGGTACAAGCTTCACGGCTGAGCATCTTAAATGCATAGACGCAGCAGGATCACCGTGGCTCCCTGTTCTGACCCTATTTCTTGACTGCTCCGGCCGCAGTCTCTTGGCAGCC